TAACCGACCGCTATTGGTAGAACAGAGAGCCGGAGGCGGGATCTCCCTTATGACACCGCCCCGACTGATTGCGACGACTATACCTTCTGCCCGAAGTCAAGAGAAGAGGCCATGAAACGGGCGCCGTCGAGGATCCAGTATTCTTAGGAAAGTTTCCCACCTGCCTATTATGAACCAAAACGACATCTTTCAGGCGCAAAAGTTCATCATGCTTGGTCAACAAGAGCTCCAGTTTTTCTTCCGGTAGGTTTCTCACCACACAGTACTAGTTGCCCCACAAAAAACCAGCTAATTGCGAGCTCTTTTCAGGCTTCCTGCCGTCATAAATGATGAGCGTGACTGGCGCAGCGCTTTAGGCCAAATCAAGGAAGCATATAGCGATTTCAATTTCCCTATTTCAGGAATTTAACGTAAGTCGGTCTCTTACATTGAAAAGTGAATTCGATGGCATCATTGAATTGTAGAAAGTCCCTGCTGCCTTTCTTGCCGCTATGGAGAAGCATGCCGGTGGTGTGACAGCTGAACAAAAGAAGGAATGGGAGGCACTTTTCGACAAAGCATACAGCGACATGAAGTCATGGGGATGGTTTTGATCGACATTAGCTGGTATTATGGCGAAAGTATCGAAGATTGCTCACTACAGTTGTAAATATTTTAGTTACCATTGCTCCGAATAAGCCCCCATTTCATCTTTTATCAGTGCCTGTTTTTTGGTCTTTGAGATGTTTACTTTTCAGATAAATGTTTTCCGATTCTCATGATTTTGATGTATAAACGATCGAAGAGAGGACTTATTTTCTTACCTCATGACATGGCGAGTGAATGGATACCGCTGGGTTGATCAGTAAAAATGCGCTTTTTTCCAAGCTACTTTTGCTGTTCTGATTACACAAGTTATGAATGATGGAAAAGGGAAAGCAATCATCCACTTCTTTCCTCTGCAGCGGCAGCATTCACTAGGCTAACAAGCTCTAATCCAGGTCTGTATAATGCCTTATAGACAATTTTTCCCAAGCACATTGGGAAAAATGCTTGAGAAAAATCATCCAGGATAGCCATCTCTACTTTGTGAGGCACTGGGCCGAGTTTTTTAGATCACCGCACAGTTGACGTTCTATGAGGCATGCATACAGACCGCTACGATTTGAGGAGCCGTGTAGGCGCTAGTGAATTTCTGCCATGCCGTACTCACGTCTTCTCGCTTTGCGCTGTTGCAGTACCTTCAAGCAGGAAAAGGTGAGTATATGGAATTTTTTTTTTGCGGGCAGCAGGGGAGGCGCAACTCCTAAGAGGACGCATACTGGGCGACAGATGAATTTTTGGCACTCAGTCTAAATGGTGGCACGGGTGCTATATAGTGGGAAAAATGCCGGAAAGTGAAGTAAACGGTCAAAAATGCAAAAAAGCTTTTGTTCCACCCGACACAGATAGGCAGAGTGGTGACGGACGGGAGTTTTTTTCCGTTGGCCCATCGATGCCAATGGCTGCTAGCATGCGTAGATACGGGTGCATTTTTATCTGCCATGTCTACTGGCAGCACTCGCAGAACCGTTTCATATACAATCGCTTTCGGTTCATATGTGCTTTCCAAATGAAGCAATACGAGCATCAAGCATCGGGTCGGGAACATTTGTAGGCGGCGGTACCGCGTGGCGACCGGGTCGGTACTGTTTCGGTAACGGCAGACTGCAGGAGTATTTTCTGGCTAGCCGTCTTGACACGCTGCAATCAGTGCATAATGTGTGCAATATAAGTGTAAATTGCGTTGCGGCAAAAAGGGGGCGTGGTTATCTGGGGGTGTGGGTGAGCATGTAATAATAGGCTGTGTGCAATATACAAGCGGTGGGCACTGTAATCGAGCATCGCACTAATCCCAGCGAGGGGGAAGGGGGAGGGGGAGGTCGTTTTTTTCCTTTGCGAAAAACACTTCGGTTGTTGACTTTTTCTGTTTTGTTTGCCGTTTCACGTAATATACCCCTCCCCCTCTCGATAGAACTTTTTTGAAAGAAGAGAAACTTCCAGAGAATGGTGGGAAGTTGGGACAATACATATAGGTACATAGGATGGGTGCGGAGTCGCACAAGAAGTTTCGAGGAGGGGTCGTGTTTCGCCAAATTTTTCTTCAAGGGCAGGACGTGCCTTTATCACATCATTGGCACTGTTCGGTTTTGGTGCAGATGCCCAACGCGTGATCCCTTGATCCCTTTCGCAACGCCTTTTTCTTTACGACGTGGAACTTACGAAACAAATCGTGGGCGGCAGGGTCCATATACTCGAATTTGCACCACGTAAAACCCTCTCACTGAACAAGATCAGGCGCACACCAGTACAGAGATGAGCGAGCATATCCGGGAAGCGAAGAAATCCTCAGAACCGAATTTCAGATTTCATGACCTTTGTAGCATGTCTCTGTCACTACACAAGATCAGTCTACCCCAAACTCCTAACAGGATGATCACTCCGTGCTTCTGTGTAAGTGCATGTAAATACTTTCTGGAGCGCGGTAGAATTCCTAGTATCAGGGAAGGTCTCATAGGTCTTTTCAATGGTGAGACCTCTTCGTCAAACAGCTGGCAGGAATGTGATGATTCAGAGCGTCTCACTTAGCAGTAATGTATTTTTTTTCTCCAAGCATAAACTCACCTGAGGCTGCAGCTGGATCCATTACTACAACTTTCCCAGATGCACACGGAAACCCTCCACTGAACGAGGAAGCGTGGAGGAGAGGAGCATGACTTTTCACTACTATCCTCCCTTCTTATGCAAATCAAAC